TACTTTTGTTGTTCATGTTTCTCTTTGCTTTGTTTTTGTGCGTATTATTGTCTCTGCATGTCTATCTAGACAAGATGGGTGGGATAAACAATCTGGAGGAAAAAACAACGGACTGATGGGACATGGGAGAGGAAGAGATGGGGGAAAGGTAGGGGAGTGCCAACAAACAAACCCAGGGACAAGGGATGAACAAATAATCTAAAATCAATGGCAAGGAGGGCATAGGATGCTGGGTGTAGGGGGGTTGACCAAGGGCAATGTAGGTGAGAGGAATTACCGAAACCCAAAAGAAGGCCGAACATGATAGTGGGACAAGAGGAAAATAAAAGGAAATAGAGGAAAGAACTAAGAGACAAAGGACATTTATAGAGGTCTAAATACAGGCATGTATATATGTAAATACATTTATATATGATGATAAGGGAATAGATCTATATACATATGTTTAATTAAAAAGTATTAAGGTGGCAGATGGACATTGGACCTCTACTCAAGTACTCCCTCAACACAAGAACGCTTTGTTCTACAAATCCGGCACTCTGTGATGCTCACCTTCCCAACACAATCACTGAAGACAAAATGGGTGCATAAGTAAATGTGGTGAAGAAAGTTGATGGTGCCTGGGTACCAGAAGATATAGTATCTGGGGTCTTAAAGGCTTGAAGATAAATAAGCAGCCATCTAGCTGAGAAGGATCAAAGCCCACATGGAAAAAGCACACCAGCCTGTATATTCATGAGGTGCCAAAGGGATCAGGTATCAGGCATCAAAGACCCAAAACAAAAAAATCTTATCGATGTGAGTGAATGAGGGGGAGGGCAGAGTGGAGACCCAAAGCCCATCAGTAGTCAATTGGGCATCCCCTTACAGAAAGATGACATGGAAGAGACAAGCCAGTCAGGGTGCAGTATAGCACCAATGAAACATAGAACTTTCCTCTAGTTCTTTAATGCTTCCCACCCACCCACCACTATCATGATCCCAATTCTACCTTACAAATCTGGCTAGACGAGAGCATGTACACGGGTACAGATAAGAGCTGGAAACAGGGGATCCAGAACAGATAAGCCCTTCAGGACCAATAATGAGAGTAGTGATACTAGGAGGGTAAGGGAAGGGGGGTGGGTAAGGGGGAACCAATCACAATGATCAACATATAACCTCCTCCCAGGGGCACAGACAACAGAAAAGTGGGTGAAGGGAGACAGCGGTCTGTGTAAGACATGAAAAAAATAATTTATAAATTATCAAGGGCTCATGAGAGGGAGGGAAAAAAGTGAGCTGATACCAAGGGCTCAAGTAGAAAGAAAATGTTTTGAAAATGATGATGGCAACATATGTACAAATGTGTATGACACATTGGATGTATGTATGGATTGGATAAGAGCTGTACGACCCCCAGTAAAATTATTTTTTTAAGTGTACATAATACTTTATCTTCTCTCTTTTGATCCATTTTAAAGTTGTTTCCATTTTTTATATTTTCTGCTTTTCGATTGAGGTTTTCCTGTTTAGTCATTGTTGGTTTTTTGTTTGATTCTTGTTTGTGTTTTGTATGATTTACTGTATGTAAAGTCCATGACAGGTGACTATATAGAGACTATAACTGGATTCATAATTACCTAGTGGCATGGTGGGAGGATGGGTACGATGCATACAAGAAGATAATGTTCTGAAATGATTGTGGTGGTGATTTGTACAACTCTTCTTAAAATGATTGAACAATTGAATTGTATAATATGTGCAGTAAATACCAATAAAATTATTTTAAATAAAAAGATAAAGACCTAAACCCTAGAGTTTTATAAACTCTAGAGCCATAAAGACCATCGATGAAAAAATACGGGATACATTTAAGGCCCTAATACAAGGCATAAATGCACTACCAAACATAATACCCATACTGTAGAAGACAAAATAGAGGACTGAAGAGACTTCTCTGAAAATGGCGCCAAGCTAGCCCCCCTTCTTTTCCCTTTCCCAGATCTCCAAACAAGACTTTGAGTCTTCCGAGATATCTCCAAACTCTGCCTGCCCAATTAGCAAGAAATGTCTTGTAAGACCTTGGATTACTACCTGCAGCTTTGTTGTTCCCCACAACCCTGTTACCCTGCCAACCTGATAAAAATATAACTGCTAGCCAGAGATCTCAAGCAGAGCTCTTGCCTTCCCTTGGCTGCGGATCCCGAACTAAGTCGGTTTCCAAGGACATCCTCCACCGATAGCAGCAGAGTAGACAAACTACCCACCTTCACATCCCCTTCCAGCCCCAGACATCAGAAATATAGCTAGTGTGACTCCAAACCAAAAAAGAAAAAATATATATGTACAAAAAGTAAATAAACATTACAGTCCAATAAAAAAAGGAAAAAATCAAGAACAGCAGTTCTAATAAACATTGGCACAGAAATAAAAAATAAGGGAAAAAGTAGAGGACTGGGACCTTCTAAAAATAGGATATTTATGTACATCAAAGACTTTGTCAAAAGAATTAAAAGAGAACTCACAGATTGGGAAAAATATTTAGCAATGATATAACAACTAAAGGGCTAATTTCAAAAATCTATTAAAAAATATACTTTAATACGAAAAATATAAAAACCCAATTTCTAAAATGGTATGAGATAATAGGCAATTTACTAAGATGACACCTAGGTGGCTAACAATCAAATAAGGAAAAGTTTGAGTTCATTTGCTATAATATACAAGTTCAAACAACAATGAGATGTGACCTTATGTCAATACTCTGCAAAATTCAGAAAATAATAAGTGCTGGAGAGAACGTGGAGAGATTAGAATACTAATATATTGCTGGTGTGATTTAGAAGTACATAACCCCCAAAAAAGTATTTAACCATTATGTAAATCAGTTTGGTGCTTGCATATATAACATATACAAATACAGGTATCCTACAATTTCTCTCTACGTTTATATACCTTGAAAAAACAAAGAACAAAACAGGAACAGATATGTGCACACCTAAGCTTATTGCAGCAATTTCTTTAATAGCAGAAAATGGAGACAAAAATTCCTACCATAGAAGAATTGGTAAGCAAATTCTGGTATATTTACTCAGTGGAATATTGTACATCCTTTTTAAAAATTAGAAAAACATTATATGAATAACAGTGAGTACAAAATGTTCTATAATTGAAGATGGTGATAATTGTACAACTCTTCTTGATGTGACTGATTATTAAATTGTATGATGTGGATGAAGTGCTAATAAAACTGTTAAAAATAAAGTAAATGCTCTTTAATTTTTTTTTTAAGTGACAAGCTTGTCAAACACTTTCAGACATGGACAAAACTTGAGGACATTATGCTAAGCAAAGTTAGTCACTCTCATAAAGATAAATATACCATTATTATAAAGGAAAATGGTTTTCACACCAAAGGATTAGACTTTAACAATTAGGAGGAGACCAGGGTTGATGAAAGAGGATGGGGAGACTATGGACAGGAAACTGGGGAGGGAGTGGGGGAAAGGAGAAAACAAAAGAGCCACATATAAGGGCCCTTTAATGGATACTGTTACTGATTTGATTTGATGAGATGGGGTGCGCAACTGCATAGAATGTTTTTCTTTTTCTGAGTATTCCACAAAGAAAAGGGATAAAGTTAAAAATATACCTGCAAATAAAATTTAAATCTACAAAAAAGAGAAAGAGGTGGGTTCCAGCCTTAAAAACCTCCCAGATTTCTTACCCATCAGATATAAGTATTGGATTGAATGGCTATGAAAGGAAGAAAGTAAAACTGAAGCAGACTTGGATTCTTTTGTGACATACAAGTTCATTTATACAATGATAATGGGATTTTTCTATAAACTTTTTTGAAGTCCCTTGTAATTGTTAAAGCAATATTCCTTTTGTGAGTTTTGCTTTTTTTAAAGTGAAAACAGTACATTTTAATTTTATAGCATTTCATTGTTATTGACTCGGTAATTTAGGGGACAGAGAGCATAGTAATGTTGCTTGTCCAACTTCTGTGTCCTTGATGGCCCAGGAGTAACATTCTGGTGTGTCCCTGGGCAGAGTCAGTCTGTCCTGCTGCTCTGAAGAATGGGAGGCGCACTGCCACTTGATGATGAACAGTCAATGGTGCACAACCTCTTTGTATCTATACTGCTTTATATGTTGCCTAACTACTTCTGCCAAAAGAACAAACAAGTCTGTTTGAGAAAAAGTGCACCCAGAATACTCCTTAGAAGTAAGGATGGCAAGACTGTGTCTCAAGTGCTTTGATTGCATTATCAGGAGAGACTAGTCCCTGAAGAAGGTTCACGGTTGATAGAGGGTTGGTGAAACAGAGGATGACCCTGAAGGAGAATTGGCACAGCGGCTGCAACAATGGGCTCAAACGTAAGAACAATTGTGAGGATGGTACGAGACTGGGCAGTGTCTCCTTCCGTTGTAAACAGACTCCGCTATGAGTTGGAACCAAATCAGCAGCACTTAACAGCAGCACCAGCTACTACCTCTCGTTCGTAAGCCTGGTTTTATTTCATCAGAGGTAAAACTCAGTGCTTGGAATATCCTTGAATTCTAATATCAACATATTTGTGGGTTGTTTAATTTTACTTTTTATTGTAGATTGGTTAAAGGTTTACAGAAAAAGTCAATTTACTATCCAAAAATTCATACACATTTTTTTGTGTCACATCCCCAAAATACCACTTACCCACATTTTTTTGTGTCACATCCCCAAAATACCACATACCCACTTCTTCCCTGTGTTTCCCATTTCCAGTCTTTCTTTCTTCCCTAACCCTTCCGAGCTTTGTCCTTAGAGAGATGCTGCCCTTTTAAAATCTCATGGTTTATTCTGAGGTGTGTGTATCTCCTTGTGGTTGTTGTGCCCCTTGTAAACCTGGTTATTGTTTGGATGAAAATTGGGCCATAGAGATAAGCTCACTTATAGACCTGAAGGGTGACTAGGCATGATGCTTTCTGGTTTCTGAGGTCAATGTGATGGATGTGTTGTCGTTGTTTTCTAGAGCGCCCCATACCTTTTGATCATATGATGTATGAACATCTTCAGAAGTGGGGGCCACGAAGGGAAGAAGTGAAGTTTTTCCTTCGACATGAGGGTTCCCCAACTGAGAGCAGTGAACAAGGTAGGTTACGTGTTAGTTTGTGTTATTCTCTCCCATTTGTTCATTTTTGCCATAAAGGTTAAACAAAAGTAAGAATAAATACTAAGATAAGGACTTAAACTGTGTTCCCTTTGTTACTCTTGAGTAGTGAGAGGGAGAATTGGAGTCCCATATCTCTTTGGATGCTGTTCTATGGTCATTGTTAGGCACCCAGCCCTGCCACCACTGCCACAGGGCCCAAAGTGGGCAGCTCAGGTGTACCAACATGCAGAGGAACTTGCTTTTGGAAAAATTGTTTTGATATTTAGATTAAATAGCTAGATTTTAAAAAAAGAAATCCTGAAAAGATTTGGAAGTAGTTTCTTGGATATAGTCTTCATAATTTTAGAGTGGGAAGAGCTTTCAAATTATAAGAAAGTCATAAAAATAACGCCTGATAAGCTTCATTATTTGAAAAGCACTTCTGCATGGCAGTCACCACCCCAGGAAAAGTCAAAAGACAAATTATAAGCTGGTAAATAGCTCATATTACAGAGGGTTAATTTCCTTTGCATATACAGAGTTATTAGAAATTAGAAAGAAGAAAATTCAATATAAAAATGGGCAAAATAAATAAATCACTGAAAAAGATATATGTGTCCCTAGAAGCTCTGGGGTCCAATCATTTGCAGCTGTTTGTCCATACCTTGAGTCATGCCCCGTCAGCAAATAAAGATACCAAAGGCTCCATTCCTACAGGCTTTACCTGGTGGTGAACTTGGAATGTGTGAAGTATGAATCAAGAAAAATTGGAAGTCATTAGAAATTAAATGGAACATGTACAGATTGATATCCTAGGCATTAGTGAGCTGAAATGGACTAGTATTCACCATTTTGAATCAGAAAATCATATAATTGTGCTGGAAATAACACAATCAAGAGAAATGGCGTGGCATTCATTGTCAATACCAGCAGCTACAACCAGACCAGGGACCAACTGAAACAAACCATCATCAATTGCTCATATTTAAGTTGAAGTTGAAGGAAATGAAAACAAGTCCATGAGAGACAGCCTGTGTATATCCCACCCAATTTCCCAAAACATCTCAAGAACAGACTTGATGCATTAAACACTGATAATGGAAGACCTGATGAGTTGTGGGAGAACATCATACATGAAGAAAGCAAAAGTTCATTTAAAAGACAGGACAGAAAGAAAATATTCATAATGGATGTCAGAAGAGACTCTGAAACTTGATCTTAATCAGAGAGTAGCCAAGACACATGGAACAAATTATGTAATCAAAGAGCTGAGCAGAAATTTTCAAAGGGTAGCTCAACAAAACAAAGTAAAATATGATAATAAAATATGCAAAAGCCTGGAGTTAGAAAACCAAAAAGGAAAGGCATGTTCAGCATATTTTAAACTGAAAGAACTCAAGAAAAAAAGAATCAAGGCTCAAGTTGCAATATTGAAAGATTATATGGATAAAATACACAATTGATGTGTGTATGGATTGTGATAAGAGTTGTATGAGCCCCTAATAAAATGATTTAAAATACATATATATTGAATGGTGCAGAGTCACTGTACCAAAAAGAACTAATAAACATCCAGCCATTTTAAGAGGTAACATATGAGAAGTAACCCATGGTGCACTGAAAGTATTAGACAAAAACAAAGCTCCAGGAACTGATGGACTACCAATTGAAATGTTTCAACAAGCTGATGAAGCACTGGAAATACTCATTCATCTACGCTAAGAAAGTTGGAAGAAGCTACTTGGCCAACTGACTAGAAAAGATCCACATTTATACCCATTCCCAAGAAAGATGACCCAACAGAACGCACACGTTCTAAAACTTTGTCATTGATATCACATGTAGGTAAAATTTTCTGAGGATCGTTCAAGGGTTGCAGCAGTACATTGGCCAGGGAGCTTCCAGAGAGTTTTTCAGGCTAGATTCAGAAGAGAGGTTGTGGAACAAGGAACAAGGAGTATTACTGCTAATGTCAGGTAGATCTTGGCTGAAAACAGAAAGATCAAAAAGTTGTTTTCTTCTGTTTCATTGACTATGCAAAGACATTCGGCTGTGTGATTCATAACAAACTATGGACAGCTTGGGAAGAAGGGGAATTTCCACTTTATTGTGCTCATTCAGAACCTGTACATGAATCAAGAGAGTGTGTGAACAGAACAAGGAAATGCTGCATGGTTTAAAATAAGGAAAGATGTGCATTTAGGTTTGTGTCCTTTCACCATATTTTGTTTATCTGTATGTGGAGCAAATAATCAGAAAAACTGGCTTACATGAAAAAGCATGCAGTAACAAAACGCCACAGGCCGACTGTGGAACAGATCATCAATTGCTCATGTGTGGGTTCAGGTTGAAGTGGAAGAAGATGAAAAGTCTGCAAAAGCCAATATACAACCTTGAGTATATTCTACCTGAATTTCGAGAAGATCTCAAGAATAGATTTGAACACCACATTGTGTTCAATTCCATCACGTTGAACACCAGTGACAGACCAGACGAGCTGCGGGATGACATCAAGAACATTATCCTCGAAGACAGCAAAAGTTCATTAGAAAGACAGGAAAGAAAATATCAAAATGGATGTCAGAAGATACTCTGGAACCTGCTCTTGAATGTAATAGTAGTAGTTGTTAGGTACCATCTAGTTGGTCCAATTCATAGCAGCCCTATGTACAACAGAAGTAAATGCCACCTGGTCTTACGCCATCCTCACAATCGTTCTTGTGTTTGAGCGCATTGCTGCAGCCACTGTGTCTATCCTTCTTTTCAAGGACCTCCCCCTTTTTCCCTGCCTTTCTACTTTGCCAAGCATGGTGTCCTTCTCCAGAGACTAATCTCTGCTGACAGCATGTCCAAAGTTCATGAGATGAAGTCTCAGCATCCTGGCCTCTAAGGAGCATTCTAGCTGTCCTTCAAGACAGATTTGTTGGTTCTTTTGGCATTCTGGGGTGCTTTCAATGTGCTTCACCAGCACTGTAATCCTACCATCGGGATTCTCCTTTGGTCTTCCTTATTCAATGTCCAACTCTCACATGCATATGAAGTGATTGAAAATACTATGTGTTGAGTCAGGGACACCTCAGTCCTCCTCTAAGCAACATCCTTGTTTTTCAACACTCTTGAGGCCTTGTGCACCAGACTTACCCAATGCAACACATATTTTGGCCTCAGTACTGCTACTTACATGAATGTTGGTGTGGATCAAAGCAAGACAAAATCCTTTACAACAGTCGTTCTCAACCTTCCTAGTGCCGTGACCCTTTAATACAGTTCCTCATGTTGTGGTGACCCCCCCAACCATAGAATTATTTTTGTTGCTACTTCATAACAGTGATTTTGCTACTGTTTTGAATCCGGCGACCCCTAAGAAAGGGCCGTTCGACCCAGAGGGGTCGTGACCCACAGGTTGAAAACTGCTGCTTTACAACCGCCATCTTTTCTCCATTCTTTATGTTACCTACTGGTCCAGTTGTAAGAATTTTTACTTTCTTTGCATTGAGTTGTAATCCGTACTGAAGGCTGTAATCCTCGATCTTCATCAGCAACTGCTTCAAGTCCTCCTCACTTTCAGCAAGCAAGAGTGTGTCTTTTGCATCTCTGCATGCCGACCAAATGTCTGTGTCTGCTATTTGGGGTTACTTACTTGTCTTTGAGGGGACACAGCCTCTCCTTTAAAATCTCCAACCTTGTTTCTAGCACCACGGTCAGATTTTCCAACCACTGTTCCTTCCTCTTTTCCATCTTTTGCATTCCCACCACTAATAATTATTAATGCATCTTAATAGCATGTTTGATCTATTTCAGACTGAAGAAGTTGGTAGAATTCTGCAATTTTTCTCACTAACTTTGGTGGTTTGTGCATGACTTTGAATAATAACTATTAATTGGACTTCTTGTAGGTCAGTACATATTATCCTGTCACAGACACCATTGAAATAGATCTTTTAATGTTCTTTTTGATGATGAATGTGGTACCATGGTAAATCATATGATTCTCTGATTCAAAATGGCAAATATTGGGCCCATTTCAGCTCACTAATGCTTGGATATTGATTTTCATGCATTCTGTTTTATTTTTGACAACTTCCAATTTTCTTAACCTATACTTCATACATTCCACATCCCTGTTTTCATGATGTTTGTAGCTGTTCCCTCTCATTTGAGTCATGCCCCATCAGCAAATGAAAGTCCAAAAAATGTCACTCCATCTATATAATTAAAGCCGACTAACCTCTGAGGAGGCATTTCTTGACTATTTTTTTAGTGCTTTCCAACTTGAAGGGCTCGTTTTCTGGCACCATAACATCCCACTGCTATTCATAAAGTTTTCAATAGCTAATCATCCAGAAAAGGACCACCTATTTCCTCTTCATAGCCTGTTCTTAGTCTAGAAATGCCACTGACCCCTGTTCACCGTGGGTGTTTCTGCTGGTATTGAGATACCAGTGGCACAGCCTCCAGCATCACAGCAACATCACAGTGCTATCTGGGTGGAGATGTGTGCATCGTATCCTTGTGGCCATGTCCCTGTGGTGTGTTTAGTGCCCATGAGCCAAAGACTGTGCTAGATTTTACGAAGTGACCATTGTACATGTTCTATTGACTGTGTTTAGTTACAGAGCAGGTCATTTGTTAAGGCACGTTTGCTATGTAACCTTTTCTTCCACCCCCACCATGACCCCATTAAAGAGCTGCTCCCCTTTTGGGGGCATTTTATTCATCATTGCCCCTGTAAATTATTCTGTATGTCTTATTATGTACCATATATTTTTCACTTCACACGCAAAAATACTAAAATTGTATCTCCCAAGAACTAGTATTGTAGTCCCCCGAGGAGCCCTGATGGCACGGTGGTTTCCAGTTGGGCTGCTAACCATAAGGTCAGCAATTCGAAGCCACCAGCCACTCGGAAGCTTTCTCCTCCTTTAAGCATCTCAGGACCCACAGGGTGGTTCGGCCTTGCCTGGGAGGGTCCACTGTGAGTCACAATTGCCTCCAAGGCAGTGATGACTTTTTTAGTGTTTTCATCTTTTTTCAAGAATAGATGATGTAAGGTGAATCCGTATTTCCATAATATTATAAGTTGTTCTACAAAAACTTCAAGTAGTAGGAAAGAAATAAAAGAAAATGTTCTCTCAGGGTGTGTCGGGCAGAGGGGACTTGGGGGAGTAAACAACGAATGTCATGTCGGAGGCGGGAGGGAGCATTAGAACTAATTGTGATAATGTATATACAATTCTTTAAGAGCAGTTTAACTATGTAAGTGTATGATATGTGAATACTATATAGAGAAAACTATTTGGGGGGCGGGAAATGACCATTGGTTACCTTGGGTGAAGGAGGAAGAATTTTTGCTAGGGGCATTGAGTTTATGTTAATGGCTGTGGAATATTTTGGAAAAGGATAATCAATGGCACTGAATTATACATGTAGAAGTTATTGAATTGGAGAGTGTTTTGCTGTGTGTATTTTTGCCACAATTAAAAGAAGTAATTACACGAATAACAATGAGTACAAGGAAGAAGAAAGTGTTCTAGAATTGATTTTGGTGATAATTGTACAACACTTCTTGATGTGAATGAATTATTGAATTGTATGACATGTGGATGAAGTGCCAATAAAACTGTAAAAAATAAAGAAAAGAAGTTCTCGCTCTCTTTTTAACACTGAGTCCCTGACTCCCTGAAGTCACGCAGTCCACGATGATCAGCTCGGCTCTGAGGAAGGACAGAGAGTACAAGCCGGGGGTGGGGTGGGGTAGGAGCCAGTGCAAAGCACACCAAAGACATTCATCTGTAGTCCTCCAGATGTACCTGCTACCACACTGAACAGCTGATTTTTATGCAAAAGTAAATAAATTTCCCTGTTCCTTTAAACTTTTGTCACAGAACAAAGGGTAATTCACAAGACTGCCCAATTGAGATGGTGTGTAATCTTGCTGTTTTACTGAAGATTAATTTTTTTATATCCATTTCCCATTATTGGGTAATGAGTTCTATTTTAGTCCCTTCTAAAATTTAAGAGCCTTTTTTGATAAGTCCATTTTAAGATTCTGAAAGACAATGTAAAAAGAAAGGATTTTATTTAGACAATTTTATAGAAGATGAATTGAACGTACATTTTCAGCTATACTAGCTCTGAATTGCTCAGCCTGACATTCTACCTACATGCCCAGTGTACATTGGAATCAATGAGGGGCTGAGAGAACATGTTTCTAGTCATTTAGTAAGTGTGGTACTTTGATTTCTTTAGGTGGCCATCAGACCCAAGAGCAAAGAATTCAGAGAAATGTAATAAATGTACCTGGAGAAAAACGCACTGAAAATGGGGTGAGTAATTAATTGTGAATGAAATGGAACTCTTTAAATTCCTTTTTAAAGTATTAATGAGTTCAGGCTAACCTTTATTTTAAAATAACTATTGTCTGGACTTGGGAATTGTCATTTCTCGTAACTATTTGGAAGCACTTTATGCCTGTAACCAGACACAGCCATGGTGTTTTGCTTCTCCTCACCTGTGGTCCATGTGCTAGAGAACCTCCCTAGGTCTTCCACAGCCAGCCCTGCCTCTAAATGGGGACTCATGGTGTGTCCCTACACAGGTGGCCTTGTGTCCGTGGGCACAGCAGTGGTTCTTCTCTGCAGCCATGCAGGGATCAATCTGCAGACCAGAAGTTCCCAAACAGATTTGGTCTACTGTGTTAGGCAGGGTTCTCTAGAGAAACAAAACCAGGACACTTATGGTAATATATCTATAAAAGGATAGGTTTATTTAGCTAAGAGAAATACAACAGAAAATTAGTCCACACAGCAATACAGAGAGCTCAGCCCACAACTCACTTTCATGGGACAGTTAATATACTGAAGGTCCTTCCAACTCACACTGGCTGCTGGCCCAAGGAATCAGGCAATAGGAAAATGAGATGTCCAGGCATAGCAGAGGCCAGTAAGGCAGCTTATCAAAGCAGGTCGTGGTGGAGCCTCACAGTGTAAGTATAGCAATATGAACAGGTGGTACGGTGTCTGGAATGATGGCAAGACAAGCGGAGTCAGCCCACAGGCAGCAGACATGGCAAGGTGGGGCAGCGCCACAGCGTGGAACAGCATGACACAGTGATGTAGTCCATGGGTTGGCTCAGCCCACAGATAGCACAGCACACAGTTGAGGCAGAGCAGCTAACTCAGGTAGTGTGCTGGTCTGATCAATAGGGAGAGAGAGGAAAGGGCCAGGCTCAAAGAGCATTTATCATTCTGGCCTCCAAAAGAGGTCATCAAACTGCAACCTGATTGACAGGCTAAACTCCACCCACATTTTCTTACTGGTGGGATGTTAGGGGGAAAAACCTACCTACCACACCAATGTACCCTTTTCAGAGAAAACAAAAGCACAAAACCCCCTGACAATAAAGATCATTTGTTCTGTAGCCTGCCATCCAATACAGTGTAACTGTCAGTTTTTGTTATCCCTGTATCCTCCGAGATCCCTCAAGGGGTAATCCCATCCACTTTGGGAAGCACTGCTCTGGACTAAGGGTTGAGCAGCAGATTTGCATCTGTACGTGTTGATATCTGGATCTTTCTGTCAGGGTTTGAAAGACAAAAGTGCGTTGTGAGCTGATGTATTGTTGAAAGTTGACTGCAGGAAGCTAGCTTCTTTCTGTGGTATAACATTGATGAGAGGTAAACTGAGGCATGGGACAAGAACAGAGGACAAAGGAGAAGTCAGAGACAGCTTTATTGTAGCAAGGAGAGAGCGTGAAAGGGAGCTCCCAGGCGAAGCCCCATGGTCTAGCACGTACCCCAGGGGAATTGCAGGCTTTGTCTGGGGTCTGGGGTTTTTAAAGGAAAGCAGGGGGAGGGGGCTCCATGCTGCAGCAGCAAGGTTTATGGCCCAGGATGTAGTTTATCAGCTCTGGCAGGTAGGCCAACCCGTTCTCAGGGAGACAGGTATTCAAGGCATTGTTTTCTGGTCTCCTCATTTCAGGGGGGCAGCTGCTGACCTCTGGGGACGTGTAGGGAAGCAGGGCCTTAACCTGCTTCAGCTCAGTCCATTCCAGCCTTTTAGTGATAAAAGGGGCATCGATAGTGATATGACTGCTTCCTGCTGGTACAGGGCAACAGAAAAGGGGGGCTATGGGCTAGAATGATAGCATTAGCTGGTAGGGGGCTGTTGAATGACAGTTAGATTGGATATATCTCTCATTCGTTCTTGAAAGAACTTAAAAAGACAGGGGGCTAAAAGTAACACCAAGCAATTTATTACTAGGGGTCCTATTAGGGGTACGACCCAGGACATAATGGGGCTTTGGAACTAGGAGGTGGTTGCTGCGTTGCCCCAGTGGTTACTTTTGATCTCTTTGGCCATGGTTTTTAACACTTTAACATTTTGCTTAATCACTCCCGACTCATTAATATATTAGCAACACTTTTTTCCCAGAAACATGCACATACCTCTCTTGTCAACAGTTAACAAGTCCAGGACTCAGCAGTTTTGAAGGGTTACCTGTGCCAGGGATGTGTAAACTGTTGCTGTAAGAAAGTGAGGGACTCCAAGGTGGAGTTCATGACCAGCTGGAGCTGTTTGTTAAAGTTCAGTGGTTAGAGCATGTTGTGTTCTGGAAATTTTTGCCACTGCTAGGGAGGAGGTAAAAGGCCCACCAGGACAGGTAGGAATACAGCCCTACAGTCTCGGGGGACAAAACTAGTTTGTTTGTTGTTTTTTTATATCATTTTATTGGGGGTTCGTACAATTCTTATCACAATCCATCCATACACCCATTGTGTCAAGCACATTTGTACATTTGTTGCCATCATCATTCTCAAAACATTTGCTTTCTACTTGAGCCCTTAATATCAGCTCCTCATTTTCCCGCCTCCCTCCCTGATCCCCCCTCCCTCATGAACCCTTGATAATTTATAAATTATTGTTATTTTGTCATATCTTACGCTGTCCGCCATCTCCCTTCACCCACTTTTCTGTTCTCTATCCCCCAGGGAGGAGGTTATATGTAGATCCTTGTAATTGGTTCCCCCTTTCTACCCCACCTTCCGTCCACCTTCCAGGTATCGTCACTCTCACCAGGCATCCTGAAGGGTTCATCTGTCCTGGATTCCCTGTGTTTCCAGTTCCTATCTGTACCAGTGTTCATCCTCTGGTCTAGCCAGATTTGTGAGGTAGAATTGGGATCATGATAGTGGGGGGGGGCGGGGAAGCATTTAAGAACTAGAGGAAAATTGTGTTTTATTGTTGCTACTCTGCAGCCTGACTGACTCTTCTCCTCCCCACGACCCAGCAGTAAGGGGTGTCCAGTTGCCTACAAATGGGCTTTGGGTCTCCACTCTGCACTCGCCCTCATTTACAATGATATGATTGTTTTGTTCTTTCATGCCTGATACCTGATCCCTTTGACACCTCATGGTCACACAGGCTGGTGTACTTCTTCCATGTGGGCTCTGTTGCTTCCGAGCTAGATGGCCGCTTATTTATCTTCAAGCCTTTAAGACCTCAGACACTATATATTTTGATAGCCCAGCACCATCAGCTTTTTTCACCACATTTGCTTATGCACACATTTGTCTTCAGGGATTGTGTTGGGAAAGTGTGCACAATGGAATGCCAATGTAATAGAACAAAGTTTTCTTGCATTGAGTAAGTACTTGAGTGGAGTCCAATGTCCATCTGCTGCCTTAATACTAAACCTATAAATAGATGCATGTATATCTATTTACCCACAATCTTATATAAATATATTTACATATGTGCATGCCTATATTTAGACCTCTATAAATACCCTTTGTCTCCTAGTTCTTTCCTCTATTTTCTTTTACTTTCCTCTTGTCCCACTATCATGCTCAGCCTTCATTTGGGTTTCAATAATTTCTTTCGGTTACATTGCCCTTGCTGAATCCCTACCAGGCCTCTAACACCCACCTTGATACTAATTTTGGATCACTTGTTGCTCCCTTGTCCCTGGGTTGGTCAACACCACCTCCTTACCGTCACTTCCCCTCCTCCCTTGTCCCCCAGGAACCATCCGTCCTGTTGTTTTCTCCTCCAGACTGTTCATCCAGCCTATCTTATTTAGATAGATTTGCAGAGATAATAATATGCACCAAAAAACAAGGCATAGCAAGACAAAGAGACAAAAGCGAACAATAACAACAACAACAAAAAACCAATGGCCCATAAAAGAACAAATTATAAGAAAAAGAAAAAAATTTAAAAGAAAGAAAAACCTGTAAATAGATCGAGGTCTGATTGGCAAAACTAGTTTTCACCTTTTACAGCCATTCTCACTCTGCTTGTCTGTACCTGGTAAGTTGCATGACTATGGCAACTGGGAGACAGGGGTGTGCTGTAGAGCTATTAACATTATAACAGCACTTTGTACTATCACTGCAGGGAGGCTAGAGAGACCAAGATAGATTAGGAAGTCCTGCTGTGGAAAAATGTACACATTTAGTTAAAGTTCTATTGTACCAAAATTTACACAGTTCCCTTGCATTAAAAGAATTGTTTGGGGTTAGAGAAAATCTGAGTATTAACAGTTACATTATGTCTGCAAATTCCATGCAGAGAAAAGCCATCTCCATTTTGATTTGTGAAGTAACAGACTAGCTGTGGCTGGATATGGGCAGTGACAAGGAGGGGATGAGAAAGGGGTGAGACTGTTTTAGGCTGCAGGCAACCATGTCTGCTCTGTCACTTCCCCATGTTGCTGGGGAACTACCAGCTTGATGTTTTTCACATTTCTCACACTATAATCCTTCTCTTACAATGAACACATTCACTTCTTTCCCATCAGCTTCTCGGTAAACAGCTCTCTGTAAACTTTCAAGTTTCTTTCACACTCTGGCACAGCCAGACATTCTATAATAAGTTCTGACTATTTGCACTTTACTCTGACCTTCTGAAACTTACTGTCTCCATCTAAACTTAAGCAATCACTGAATGTGAGAATTGTATTAACTGTTAGTAAAGGATTAAAGGTCCCCTGGGAGGCACCTTTGCTGCATCACGTAAAGGCTGCTGAAACCACCCACAGGGAGTTTAATGGCTTAGCTATAAGGGAGAAATTGGGGGTCTAATGTCAGAAAAATCCACAAAGCCAAGAAAGCAAATTATTTGCTCCGCCGAAGTTGGTGGTTGGAGATTTTTATGACCTGCATTTATCTAGAGTTAAGCCCTGAGTGGTGGGGGTGAGGCACAGGCCTCCATAGATAAGAGTGGGTAAGATAGGTGTGCCTTGGAGAGAGAGAGAAGTTAAAGGAGTTGGGCCGTGTTTGCCTTAGAACTGTTTTAGGAGTGGTTTCAGGTAAAGGCAAATGAA